TGATGGTTATAGTCATTCGTTTTAATTATGATGTGCGATATTCAGGATGCCTGCATTAAATAGATAGCATTCACTAAAGTATTTGAATAGAATAATAAAAAAACTGAGAGTCGTTCATTTTAACTATGATCTGTGTTATTCAGGATACTTGCATCAGATAGATAGCATTCACTAAAATATCCGAATAGAAGGATCCTTGCAGTCATTCATTTTAATTATGATCTGGGCTACTCGGGATGCTTGCGCCAAATAGACGGCATTTACTAAAGTATTTGAATAGAATGATGCAAGTTGAAGTTGTTCATTTGCTATGAAATTCTTTGTTAGCGAATACAGTTTGATTGCTTTTATTGTAAATAAGAATATATTTGAAGAAAACATTTGTCTAAGTTATTCATTAGTCACATATTTATTAATTATATATTAGAAATTTAAAGTTTTTAGTAATCGTCAATGGATACTGAATGATGACTTGTTCATACGTGTACATTAACTACCGATCTATTGAATGCTGAATGATCTTTTCTATTCTTCTTTTACAATGAGCAAGTATTCGAACACAACATTAATTACAATTATTCATTACCAATATAGACATTAAATTCATGATAATTGTTCGGTTTGTTGTTAACCGTGGAGATATTTGAACAGAAATATCCTTATATTTATTCATTTGCAGTGTATTCATTAACCTTAATAAATATTGAATTTTCACTGTAGAGGAAAATATATCTGACTAGAATCCTCTTTAGGAATATTCATTTGGAATATATTCATCAATCATAGACAAACTCTCAATTCTTCTTGAAAAGTCAGGTAGTAATTCAATAGAGTTATACTTAGAATCATTCATATAATATACAATTTTTATATGTATTAGTACAGTACTTGTCTTTTTCGAAATTCTAGCACGATATTTAAATAGGATCCTTGTTTGAAAAATTCAATTATTACCCGACGATCAATCATCTGAGTGAACAAAATTTCGCTTTCATAAGAAATAAAATAATTGAACAGAATGTTGGTTTTAGTTGTTCATTCTCCACAGAGTTGCTTTTTACTGAATTATTCTTGCCTTTTTTTATGAATAAAGGAGATTTTTGGCTAGTATTGTGGTACGACTTAGAAATATATATTTAATATATGATATGCAATCATATTGTGACTTTAATCACATTATGAGAAACGAGAATGATATTTGCATAGATTATGGTCTTACGAAATATTCAGTTTCGATGAGATCCTTAATAATTGTTTGAAATGGAACTATTTTTCTGGAGAGCTAAATGCATATGGATCTGCTTATAACTGCAATATTCATCTTCTGTGCCACTATAGTTTGCAATATTTATTGTATTAATTTCTATTGCTGTAATCAAAATATTCCTATCCAACTGGTGTTCTACAATTCATATATTGAACTATCCTCAATTAGGCATACAATGACGAATGTTGTGTTGAAGTCATTAACATATTTTAATGAATCTTGTGTTTGTTCGCTCAATTTGTATTACATGTGAGAGTAAGTTCTATACTTTAGTACCTATAAAAGTTTATATGCTCTTCAACATATTAGTATGTACCTTTCCTACGCAATATTCATTATCCTTCGTTCTTCGATCATATAGTTTCTTAAGAATATGACTTCGGTCTCAACAAAATAGCCGAATCATAGCTTAACATGAGACATTCATAATCGCTATCTCTTGCCTATCTAACTATCATACTAACATGAGTTCAAACTAACGAAAATATTTGAACATATTACACTTATAAAATCTATTCATTGTCCATTAGTTTTTCCGTCTTTAAACTTAACACAAATACAAAACTTGATTGGATAAAGTATATGAATATAATGTTTGTTAGAATGTTCATTTGTCGTTTGTTTTACGGTCTTCTAATATGAGACAGAAATATTCTTTTAGATAAAGTAAAATACGTGAACATAATTTTCGTATGACTCATTTATGTATTACTTCTTTATGTATGTTGAACTGTTTTAGAAATCTTCTTTTGGATGAAACACAATACATAAATCCAATCTTGATGCGATTTATTCATCTCTCATTTGCTTGTGCATATTGAACAGTTCTG